CTCGTGTGACACGGAGACACAAAGAAATAAAAAGAAAGACGAACGATTCGTTAAATGTCTCTATTTGAATTCTCCTCGATCTTTAACAGATGGATCGTTGCCCGAGGTATTTTGCATAAACGATGAAGTTCTAGCGGAACACTTGTGCCTCGAGCGTTAAGTCTTTTGCATTAGAAAAGGATCGAGTTCACGGTGATTCATCCGGATAATTCGTAACGTGTTATGACAGTTTCTTTGTCACGTTGATTATTATGCTTTTAAGAGTGGAACGCATCGATTATGCTATTAGCACAGATAAGTAACGATACTCATGACACTTAGCGATTCAAGCTCGTTCACATTGTTATCGTAGAAAATTTTATTAACTTCACACAAAAAGATCAGGGCGACTTCTGATAAATATTCAGCATTCTTAATCGTTGTTAATTATTCTTAATCCATGGCTGTTTCGAAAGCCAACGATTTCACTACAGTTTCGTGCCTCTTCGTTCTTTTCACGATAAATATGGCCAGAATTAGGTTGTATTAGCATGCCGACACTATTCAAACGGAATTTTTGTCATCGGTCCACGCACATACGTGACTCACACGCGTGCCAAGTCACACGCATCAATACAATCCTAAATCCTATTACGTTTTTCTGCAACACGTGGGAAAAAAAATCGTTGACGCGCCATTAAAAATTAATTTCCATGGCATTTCGATTTGCATGGCATTTCTTTGACTTTCTAATTTTGGAATTCTTTCTTTGGAAGTACTGAATGCGTGTACGTTTGAAATTATCGTACTCCAGAGTTTTCAGAAATTTTCCAAGCTCGGAGCTTCGGAATTTTTAAATTTTTAAATGTTTCTAAAACACACATTCGCAATTTGGAATCTTCAAAATTTTTCCAGAGTTTCTTGGAAATTTCAAATTTTTCGAATTTCGTCGAATCGCCGAATTATTTCGTGCCAGAGATTCTTCAAATTTGCTTCACCCACCTCAATTATGCTTCTCCGTGCGTCAAACTGAAGTAGGGAAAGTCGTCTGACTAGGTAATAAAAATCTCTCCAAAACGGCACGACAAATTAATCGAGAGAGACCCATTCATTCACGAAAGCCGTAACTCGGCCAGTTTCGCGTCTTCTTTTCTTTTTTTCTCCCCCGAGATCCGTCTTCTTTCTTGTCCTTCGCTGAAAATTCTTTCCCATTCGCGGCGTCGTCTCGACCCCGGTGTCGGAGGTAGCCAGAATTCCTTAAGGAGAGGCAGAGGCCTACGTTTCAACGAGTCTTCGTGTACCTACGAAAACACGACAGTGGAAGGGGAATGCCGGTTGGTTCTCCGTTGAAATAGGATCAACTTGATTGGCGGAAGTCCAGAAGGAAGGGGTTACACTCTCATATATGTTCGACCACGCACCTTCCATAACCACTTGGTGCCCGTGACACGCGGTCCAAGGATATAAAAAGCGGAAGGTCGAGTGCGAATCCGGAGGAAAAAACGGAGAAGGGCGAACGGAGACAGGAAACGGATGACCCGTGATCTCGCGTAGTGCAAGTGTCTTTTGGAAACGAAATCATCGTATCGCCATGAGGATAACAGTGTCCGTTCTTTTGCTGCTTGGGCTCGTTCTCTGCGTTCAGGGTGACGTTAGCGAAACCAAAGACGAGGACGAAAGTTATCTGAACTGTCTGCTGGAGGATAACACGGTAGGATGTTTGAGCACGAGGCTAGGCAGAAATCTGGATGAGATCGAGGTACAAGTGACTGGGAAGAGCAACGAGACACCGATGAGTGCGGTCATCGAGCAGGCTGGTAATTTCGTGGCCGAGGTGATCGACGACGTTCAAAATCCCGGAAAATCGGACGAAGTCGCGGAAACCGCAGACGCTGGTGAACAAG